ATGAGGGTATTTCCTGCATAAAGAAATGCAGGAATGAATGTGAGTGGATTGAGGAGGGTATGAGCATCACACACTGGCTGAAACTGGTGGTCCCGAGTGCTCCCTGCCATGCTGCCTGCCGCTGTCGGCCTGTGTCGAGGCAGATCTGGGCACGGGCTCTGCGGCTCCCCGGTGGCCGAGCTCCCCACGAGGCCACCCTGTGCGGGCAGGAGCAGAAGGGCGTTTTGGATTGTCATTGCCCTGCACCTTGGTGTCCCTGTCGTGTCCCCATGCTGAGCAGGCAGAGCTGGAACGATGACCCCAGAGCGCTCAGCAGGAGGAAATAGCCTGCCTGGAGGAAGAGACCTGGGCTGCGGCAGCTGCGCTCGGCAGTGGAGACAGGCCGGGTGGCAGAGGGATGGGGTTTGGGTTTCTGGGCTGGGATCAGGCTTGTTTGGGGCTGCAGAGCCCCGAGCGCCGCACGAGCATTTTGGATGAGACACTTGGCCTTGCACGGGCTGTGTAGTCAGCACCCTCGTAGGCCGCCTGCACAACAGCGCTGGAATCGGGGCAGGATTTACGTTAAGCCATAGTGTATATGCTGGATAAGCTCCGTTTGTAGAAAGAAAAGTGAGAGAAAACAAAGCAAAAAAAAATCACTATCTATCTCTGTATGTTCTTTATAACATAGTGTGCCAAAAGCTGACATGGGTAGCTATGTGTTATATAGACCCCAGTAAATAGGAATGGCACCATGTGCTGCTGGGTCAGAAGAGGCCAGACTATGACTTGCTTGTCCTTCCTTGAGGGCATGAGGAACATCTGACGTGGAGCAGTGATGATCCCATTTAAAATACTTCTGGTGTTGCTGTGAAATGTTTTATATGATACTTCTTTCTGCTTCCTCCCGTCAGTTGCCATTTTGCCCATTGGAGAAGGCAAATCGGTTGCTGCACGTTGCTGCTGACGCAGCTGCTCGGTCCGGGGCAGCGAGGGCCGGCGGGGGCGGCGCGGCCCCGCGGCGCGCAGGCAGGGCGCTCCTGGAGATCGGGAGCTCTCCCCTCGCCTCCCTCCGCGCCGGGAGGCTCCCCAAGGCCGCGCGTCGCGGGCAGCGGGCAGGCCGCGCTCGGCCTGTCGCCTCAGCTGCGCCCGGTGCTGCCGCGTGTGTCCCTTGCTTGGCCTGGTGTGGAAGCGCGGGGCGTCGGGCAGCGCTCGGGCTCCACCGCTAACCTTGTGACACGTTCCTAGGGCCAGGAGGCAAAAAACATTCCCGGGGAATCGGTAACAGAGGAGCAGTTTACCGACGAGGAAGGCAACATCGTCACGAGAAAAGTAATCACCAATTGCATCCCTGCTCTGAGTCCTTGCATTCAAGTAACCTCTTTTAAAGTAACTTTCTCTCTTTAGAATTGAGAGAGAAAACCCACAGTCGATCCTTTTCATGTATTGCTTCCTACAGATCACCCGGAAAGTGGTGAGGCGCGTTGTTATCCCCCATGAGAGGAGAGTTGGCGCGACGGTAATGAAGGGGCCGCCAGGCCGGCGCTGTGGGGCTGCTGTGGCCTGGCCAGCGCGCGGGGCTTGCGCTAGGGGCCCTGGGTTCTCCCTCAGGGCTCTCTGTGATTCCCAGAGCTTCCCAGAGCTAGCACCGGGGGTGTCTGCACCGGCATCCTGCACACGCAGGCGCCGAGACAGGGTTGGGATCACAACAGTGAAAATGAGGAGCAGGGCCGAGCTGTGCCCTGCGTCAGCACTGGCAAAATGAGGGGCTGCGCAGGGACGCAGGGCCGGCAAAACAGAATTTAGCACTTAGAAATTGGGAACTTAGAACCAGCAAGTGTAGCAAACTCACTGCTGCTAGTAAAAAAAAAATAAAGTGGGGAGGAGGATGACAAAAAGAGCACTGAAAAAAACATCCCCTGCTTCTTACCTCTTTATGATGGGGAGAAAATGCTGCCCAGTATAGGGAAATATTTTCAGTTTATAATGCCAGATTAGATTACATAAAAGCTACAAATAGTTACAAATGCATCGATACAGCTCAGCCGAGGGGTAAATTCTGCTGATAACCCCACAAAAACAGATGCCCTTTCTCTGATGTGAGCGAGGCTCATGATTACCGCAATGTTTATTTTTAGATGCTTATTGAGCTATTTTTAACAAATGTAGACGAGCTACATTTAGGGGTTGTTGCCGTAAAAGACACCGAAACCTGCTCTGCTTGGCGCTTTCCTTGGTTTCCCTTCTGCTCTGTTTGGCGACGTTTCTTGCCATCTCTCTTCCTCTCGCCTTTATCCCCTTACTAACCTGCTGGCTTTAGAGCACAGGTGCTGTGAGGCATCACGATCGCGGCCCACACGGGGCCCCGCTGGCACCCGCTCCGGCTGGCGGCCCCGAGGGCAGCGCGGGCCTGCGTGGCCATCACGGTGGCGTTTGGGCCTGTGCCTCGGGGCCTCGGGGCTGCGTGGATGCTGAGGCGCGCGCCCCTCTGCGCTGGAGTGCTGCCGTGGTTTGACCGCTTCCCACTCACCCTCTCGCAGCCCAGTGTGGAGCCTGTGCTGGGAGCAGGTTTGCCGCTACGGTGCTCTCTGCAGGCTGCGTTAACGCCTGTGCTTTTGCTTTAAAGCAGGGAGAAGGTTATAAGGTTAAGACGAAGAAGGAAGTCAGACACGTGGAGAAGAAAAGCTACTCGTGAAAGCCTGACGCGGAACGGTCAGTCTGAGCCTCTGTTGTCCTTTGCACGAGGCAGCGGGCAGCACGGCCCCGCGCAGCGCTCGCTCGGCCCCAGCTGCACCGTCCTCGCCCTCTCCTCCCTGCGCGGCCCTCCCTGGCCACAGAGCTGAGTAAATGGCCCTTGGCCCTGGCAGGTAAACACGACCTTGAGTCCACATAGGGAGAGTGAGTTGTACTTGTTGAAACAAAGGAAGCAAAGCTGAGGTGAGTGCAAGATTTCGGGAGCCAGGTAAAGCGCAGAGCCAGAAATCCGCAGCACTTCTGCTCACCCTGAGCAGCGGGGGAGCTGCGTGCATGTGGAGGTGTTGGGGGTGAAGGACGGCTTCCACAGCCGGACACGTGGTCTCCTGAGGACTCTTATGCAAGTTAATGTCCTTGTAAGTGGAGTGTCTAAATATTTGCCAACACACAGTCCTTACCAGGTGTTTCCTGTGCATTTCATCGATCCAACCTTCACAGTTGTAATGAAAGAGCAGGCGACAGTTCAAGGGCTCCCCACAGTTTAACCGAACATGCAGAGGCCAGAGTCCCTCGCAGCTCCCAGTGCTGGGAGCCGGGGCGCTGCGCAGCCACAGGGCTGGTTTGTCCAGACCCCCAGTTGCAGCTGCAGAGCTAAATGGTTATAAGTCCTGGAATAGCCCGGCTGTGGCCGCCTGCCCTGGCCGTGTCTGCAAGTCTGTGTGCGAGGTGCCTCGGGCCTTTTTTTCTCGGCTTTGGTTGGTTTGGTGAGGCTGGCAGCAGAGGATTTTAGGAAGAGGACATTTATGTTTTACCCTTTTCCTATGCAGTCTGGTATAGCCTTGACCAGAGGGTTAAAGAGCAGAATAAGCGGGGCCTGTCAGAGGACTGAGGGGGTGAAGGAGAAGCCGATGCCCTCCCAAAGGGGCAGGTCTCTGTCCTTGGTGACGCCGGGGGTGCAGAAACGTGTCCCCGGAGCCCCGGCTCTGCCGCGCGGGTGCTCGGAGCGGTTTGCAGAGAGCTGTGAGGTTGTCCACAATGGCGAAATGCAGCGCGTAGCAACCAGCTCTGTAAATCAATTTGCCAGCAATGCGGATGTCTATGGCTGCACTTTGCCTTCGTGCTGGGAGCTCAGCTAATTTCATTACATACCTAGAAACTGTAGGATTTATCCTATTACAGAATTCCATAAAACCAATTAGATGTTTTTGTTTAGAAATGGAAGAGCATGAAATTGGTCCTGGTGAGATGCTCAGAAATAATCCCATGCTCTCTTTTCTTTCCACAGGACTGTGTGCTTTTACTGCCACTATCCTAGGACACTCATGGAAGAAAAATCAACAGGAATTAAACATTCACCTATAAAGTGTGCGTGTGTTTGCTGCTTCCACACATTAACCGCATGGTTTTTATGCAAAAACAAAAACAAAAAAAGCAAACAAAAAAAAATTAATTTAGCATGAGCCAATTTACAGAGCATGGAAATTCACTTTCATTCACAGGATTGGGGAGTGCGCAGTTAACAATGCAGTGTATATACAAGATGCCATGCTGTTAACAGCTTATTTCAAGCAGTTTGATGTCATCACAAAAGAAATAAATTCCTGTGGCCAGAGGGAATGTAAGAAGATGAAATGGTTAAACCATGGAAAGACACTAAAATTACTAAAATCCACAACAGCTCGCCTTATTTTTCTCGGACCCAAACTGTCAGGGTATAAAACACTATTTGTTTCTTTTTTAAACATCAATAGTTTTGCTGTAAATAAATAACACTGTATAAATTCTAACAAAATAGAATAAATGTTGATAAGGCACTGCCTTCTCGATCACAAACAGAATATTGCAAATGCATTGAGCAAGCTAGGTGTCTCAGATGGCTGCACCTACCGGCATATTCTGGGTGTATCTTCACAGATTCTTGTATATTAGCAATTATAATGTTTGTATATGCAAAAATGCTAGCTTGATTTTAAAAAAATCTTTAAAATCTGCTGCAAATTTAAATGATTCCCAAAATGAGGAATTCTGTAGTTCTGTGAAAATTTTTCTTCAGAGTACTAATATTTTGATGCATGTGTTTCACCTTATTTTGATTAAATCTTTTCCAGTTTTGCAAACACTATACTGCAACATGAAAAATAAGATTTTATCTGTAAACACAAAGCCCTTCATCTAATATTTGTTGCTGTTGCCAATTTTTCAATGAAATGACCTAAGAGACATAACATATACAGTAGTTGCATTATGGGGAGGGGGGTGCTATCTGTTCTCGCTTATAACGGGGGTAATGCTTGCAGCTTTAGAGGTGGGTTGGTGCTCCGAGGAGCACAGGTTTGGGATCTTTTTAAATGAACTGAAGAGAAATTATTAGCTACTAGACTGGCAGCACGCTGTAAAATTATTACTGTATTGTGTACTGGCTATAAGATGTAGAATCTTTGAGTAAGCCGATCATCTGTAATCATCATCCTAGCAGTGTAATATTAGGTTGTTAAGGCTGCTGTGTTTTAAAGGGCATTTTTATTTGGGTTTTGGTGAAATACTTTAATTTGTTGATTATATTCATATGGAAACAGCATTCATTGATAATAGCTCTAATTACATATGTATGAAGACAACAAACACTGGATGATCTAGTTGATTATTTAAGCATAAAATAAATTGTGTTAAAACTCTTGGATAACGCGTGCTTCGCCGTGTTATTGCACCCGCTGTAGCTGTGTCTCCAGCCCGGCAGGCCGCGGTTCCCAGCGCTGCGTTTTGCTGCTTTTCCTCTCGGTCCATGTGGCACGAGCTGCGGCGAGGCCGGCCACCGAAGGCGGGCTGGGGCCGCCGGGGAGCAGCTCTTTGCTCTATGACTTTGGCTTTGGAACCAGTTGATGTCGCCGCTGCCCTGTGTCCTGCAGTGCTTTTTTTGTTCCTGAGGGAGCATGGAAGGTGTTTCAGCTGGGGCCGGGTTTTGGTGGGCCCCGTGCACGAGGCAAGGCCGTGCTGTAGGGAAGTGCGGCCGCGCTCGGCGCTGGGGTGTGCACCGGCATGGCAGAGCAGCGCTGGGAGGGCTTCGAGGAGGGCACAGCACTGCCCGGGAGGACACGGGCACAAACCCTCTGCAGCTGCGCCAGCCTCTGCTAGTTCAAGCCCAGGTGCGAGCGTGGCCGCTCTGTGCTCGTCCCGCCGCAGTGACACGGGGCGAGGGAGGCCTCAGTCCGCCCTGCTGCGCGGAGCAAAGTGTGGCCTGTACAAAAGCGCGTGCAGAAAGGCTTAATGAAGGACAGAAAAGTGAGCGGCTCAAGGAAACACGGTGTATGTGCCATGTTTTTCATAACTGCTGATGCCAAAAACAGGATGTGAATTGTGCCTGGCTCTATTTAGCTGACCCAAAAGCAAGGATTTACGATAAAAGTTTTATTGGCGTATTTCCCATCACACTAATGTTCAATTACAGAGAGCCCATTGGTCTATAAAGTGCCATGGGCAGCCGCCCCCGTTCACCAGCTGCCTTGGAAAGCGCCCCGGGCTGGACATCGTCACAGCCCGGCCTGAGCAGCAGAACAAACCTGCTACCAGCCCTGGCAAATTCCCCGGGAAAAGGAGGGCAGAGAGGAAAAGCAGAGGATGCGGTAGCAGCTGAATCGCTACTGCGTGGCCAGTTTTCGTCATCGCAGATTCTGTTCCTGCAGGGCTTGCTCACTAAGTCCTTCACATTTCTGATTAAATAACTGTCAGCCACAAGAGAAAGCAGCGTGTTTCATTATTTCGCTCTGAATTGTTTTGTAGAAAACATTTCTTATTCTGCGTCGAGAGGCAGCTCATCCCATGATATTTGTGAGTAGGTGTTTTTTTTCTGTTCATACAAATGTTTTTCAAATCCTATTTTTTTCCCTGGTAGCCACCTTTCCACAGTGCTACATCTCTGCACAAGCTGGCAGCCCACACAGCTGGCTGTTCTCCTGTAAGCACAGCACATTTTAATAATATGGCTTATTTTTATTTTCCTCTATTTTTTTATTTTTATTTTTTTTTCATGTTTCCGTCTGGTGCTCCAAATACTGCACAGAAATTTTCCTGGGCTTCATTAGCTTCCATTAGTCTTTTTTTCAGCCTCTTACTTCTGAATATTTTAATAAAATTGTATTGTTACAGATGTTCTTCCAGCTGATTAATGGATCTCTGGAATTGCATTGAAGATTATATTAAATCTCTGAGCATACCTACTCTCCGCCAGCATCACGCCGACCCATGTGTTTTGTACAGATATTTCTACTCCTTATGTGAGTTTATGCACCCCAGTTTCTAATTGCCCATTATCTCCGGTAAGGACAGCTTCTGTTCAGAACTCCCTGCCTCTTGATTGCCGCAGCTGCTGTGAAGATCTGCGCCGATCGTGCGGCAGCACCCGTGCTGTTTTAGCAGCCCTTCCTTGGGCGCATTGCGCCCTCGCCGCTGCGTCGAGCAGCCCCAGGCTCCTAGCGGGTTCGGCTCGCGGTGCTTCCACTGCGTCTCTACACCTTTTAATCGGTTTGGTTCCCAGTTAGTGATGCGCAAAGCACACGGCTTGGGGGTGGGTTTGGAGGCTAATTTGGATCGTGTTTTCTCTCGCTTTTTAGCCTATTACTTTGGGGTAGCTGGGCGTGACTAAACACATGGGTGCTGTTTTCCGAGTGACTCCAGTGCCTCCAAGGGGAGAAGGTGCCATGTGAGAGGGGAGCCCCAAGGGCACAAGTGATGCTCCCGCTCTGCCCCTGACTCACCCACGGGCTGGGCAAGCACCTCCACCGCTGCCTCCTGCCGGCACTGAGGACATCAGCACTGGGCTGAGGACATCGGCTGCGTCCACCGGTGCGTTTTCCAGGCTGGATTTTGTGTCCAGAGCAAGAGAGGCATCTGCCAAGTCCTCTCGGAAGTTATATAGCTCTGAAGCAGCGAAGCGCTTAATCTAACGAAGCAAGGTGCTTAAGTGCAATAAGTGGCTCACGGGATAACAAGAGACTTAAGCAGATACTGACTCAGGTTTGCAAGGTGCTGCGGCTAGGCTCCAGCGAGGAGTTGCACCCAGGACGCCCCACCAAAGGCAGAGGAAATGTATATGACTACTTATACGTGACAGTACATTTAAATACATACATATACGGAGGCAGAGGCAGAGGTCTGCGGGGTGCAGTGCCCTGCGCTGTGGCCATGCGCTGCGTGATGTAGAGATGACTTCTCAGTGGCTCTCGGCGTGCGAAGGCAGCGGTGCATGTGGCATAAGTGGGCAAGGAGGCTGCTGCGCACCCCAGCTTTCCAACCCCGCTCCCACGCAGCACGGAGCCGCGCGCGGGCTGCTTGCATGTACTGTACTGGGGTGCGACTCCTTGGTGGGCCAGAGCCAGCAAGAAAGTGACGTTTGCAGCTTGCTCTTGTGCAGAACAAGGAGGCCGTCTCATTGGAAATAAGGTGATGCCTGCTTGCCGTTAACGGAAAAATTGCTGTTGTTGAAAGACCGCTTCATAAATAATGGAGAAACCAACTCCCCAGCCTGCGCGACTCGGCTATGCGGGAGCAACATGGACCACAGCAGCCCATACAGCAGAGGGCACGAACGCGCCTCCGGCCCACCCGGCGCTGCGCTCTGCGGGGCACGAGCGCTGGCGCTGCAGCGGCGGCAGGAAAGCCACGGAGCGGCTTGGCCGCGCTCAGCTCCGCGGTCTGCTTATGGACCTAATTCCATTGCAAATCTCCTTACGGCAGCCGAGTCCCCTGCGCTGCGTGTAGGATGGATGCCAGCAAAGCGAATCGCTTTCCACGCTTCTGGAAAGGATCTTGAGTATAAACCAGCTCCAACAGAAAGGGATTTTCTTCCTCTTCCTTGTCCCTGTGCATTATTTGATGGGAAGCAACATGGTGCCTGGCATGTTGGCTCACTTGAACCGTTTCTAGAGGAAAGCTGGCTAGGCTTATTCTTCAATAACAGTAAAGAGACACTATTTAAAATAAACTTTGCCCCAGCAAAATCATTTCTGTTTTCCGAGCTCACTCAGACCCGCAGGTTGTGCGGAGGAGGAGGTCAGCACCGGCACCACTCGTCAGAGCGCTAATGTCTCTTCTTAACGCTGAGGAAACTGTTGCTCTCTGGCAGCTGCACGGATGCCCTCCAAGGGAGGCAGGCAGCGGGAAGACACGCGGATGCTCCGCAGCCGGGTCCCCTCTGCAGGCAGGCGGCTCCGTGCCGTGCCGAGCAGGAGCACTTGCACCTCCGGAAAGCCTCGCCTGCGGAACCGGCCGCTGCGATGAGGAGCGAGGTGGGTGCGAAACGTGCAGCGGCCGGACCTGCTGCTGTCTAGCACTGAATAAAGTGGAAGGAATGCTCTAAAATCTGTTTCCACGGTGATGTTATTTCCAGTTAGCCTACTTTCCTGTTCTGTCCAGAACGCTGTTTTTTCCAGAATCCATATCCAAGGTAACAAACAGCTTGTCTCCTGCCCTAAGCCCTGGGTAGGAACTACACTGGACCAGAAATGAGTTCTGGAGGCGCTGAGCTTGGGAAAATCAATATTCCCTGGAATTTACTGTGTGATCAGTGAGGTGGTTCCTCCATTTTGCTGTGCCGAGTGACCTATCAGTTGTGCCGCTTTTGCCATCTTGAAACATGCCTGGAAAACACTCGTGGCAGCGCTGGCTGCGGGACAGCTCGACGGGCAGACGTGTCATTTGTGCCCGTGGCAGAGCGAGGACGCCGGGGAGGAGGGTACGCGCAGAGGCTCCCCTGCATTAGTGCAGCCCGACAGCAGGGCTGCGCAGCAGCGGAGCAGGAGAGCCCTGTGACTCTTCTTCTGCAAGGCTCGGCGCGTGAGCAGGGCACCGACCCTCCCTGTCAAAACGACTGAAACCCCACGAGGACGTTATTCGGGTTTCCTCCAAGCACAGGGGCTCAAACATCTGCTTGTCAGTGCCTTTGACACGCGTTTTTTGCAACCTACTGGAGCTGGATGGTCCAGATGAACTCGCCACTTCAGCGGGGCGTTTCCTCCTGCTCTCTTACTTTCCCTTCGCATGTAGCTGAACTGCCTTGTAGCATCTGCACTAACACCACTGCAGGGGATGTGTGTATATACATATATACATGTGTGTGTAAATAATTTTATTAAAAAGTGTTTTAAAATTGATTTAATAGTATATAAATATTCACATCTGCTGAAGTCTTGGGACTCCAGGCTCACACTGGGGTCTGCACTGAAGAGCTGCTGTGTGGCCCAGGTGCTCTCTACATACATCGCAGTGCAGATTTGAGAGTGTAGGGCTTTTTCCTATATATTTGGGTTTAAAATGCAGGTTTTGGTACAAGCTATAACATTATTATTTTAATATCCAAACTAAAAGTTCCATCTCTGCACTAAAGCAGAATAAACAGGGTTTTCTTTTTTTTTTGATCTTCATTTTAAAATGAAATTCAACATTGTTAGTAGCAAGAGGAAAAATAAAATAAAACAAAAAAGCCCACGCCGAGACCTTTCTTTCTCAGTGCCAGGCTGCAAACCCCTTTCTGCAGCGAGTGGCAGGTCCCCACGGGTAGGGGACCGTCAGCCTGTGGACATGGGCCCCTTTTCCTTCTGGCCCGTGCCAAACGCGGGGTTTTCAGTGTCAGCTATTGGGAGTGTAACTCGGGGCAAGCAGCGCTGCTCCCGGCCACCCGGGAGAGACGGGCAGAGGCAGGAGCAGCTTCACAGCTACAGGAGGACAAGGGTCACCTAGGCCTCCTGGTTGATTTGCAGCGGGAGAAGGAAAAGTAAAAAGGCGTTGATTAGCAAGAGGCTGCGGTGCTTGTCAGAAGCCTTCACTCTGTTTTTCTTTCTCCAGAATATTTATAATTTCACTCGTTTCTCCGTGCCCCGGGTAGCAAATGAAGGATTTTCAGATGGGCCCAGGAGCAGGGCATCCTGGCTAGGTCCCTCCACACACTATGGCCAATTGCTGGGGGGCCAGAGAACCCCGTCCCAGCGCTTCCTGGGGCGGCTGGAATAGCCTCCCGCTCCAGTAGCACAAGTCGTGCATGCTTCTCCTTCACAAAAAAAGAGTGTGAAGAAAGTGCTGTGGCCATCATCCTGCAGCTGCAGAATAATCATATGTGAGTTCTGTAAAATGCTGCCTGTTTCTAAACACAGAATTTGCCACAGATATCCGTGATGATTCCAGAACATAGGAATAACACCCATGACAGGACACCAGGGGGGGAAG